GCCCCCTCGGAGGGCCCCTGGGGGCGCCTCTGGGGGCCCCCCAGACCCAAGAGTACCCTGAGGCCCAGCCCCCAGGGGGCTACACAGACACAGACAACGCCGCTAGTTTAGTGCAGAGTGCAGATGGTCGAGTGGTAGCGTACTGGTCCCTCCCCGCCGAGACAATAGCTGTGTGGGCCCTAGGGTCCAAGAGGGGGCCCCCGGGGGCCCCCCACGGGGCCCCCCGGGGGGCCCCCAGGGGGCCCCCCAGGGGCGGCGCCGCGGGGGCCCCCTCGGGGAGCCCCCCTGACTGGCTCTCAGAGCCAGAGGGGGACTGGTGAGCAACAGGAGCAGCAAAAGGGCAACACAACAACCCCACCCATTGCCCCTTGGGGGCCCCCTAGGGGCCCCCAGGGGCCCCCAGGGCTTGACCCGTAGCTTTTCTCTTTTGAGTTTTTGCCGTTTGTTTAGAAGGGGATAAACCCCTGGGGACTTTTGTTTATTTAATTGGATTTGAGAAGACAGCAGGGGGGGGCCGCGGGCCTGCAGCCAGGTGTACGTACACCTCGTTTTCCGGGTGTATGCGTGCACTTTTTATTAAAGGAACATTTAGATGGACTTATTAATCATTAAATGACTCAGAACTTTCTGCTTTTCTAGAAAGTGCTTCTTAATTGACTACTTCTCGATACATGCGGCCCTGCTCAGAGCCGCGGCAGACACTGGCTAACTGGCAAGCTAGCCGGCTAGCTAACTGGCTAGCTAGCCGGCCAGCTAGCTGGTTAGCTAGCTGGCTAGCTATCCGGTTAGCTAGCTAGTTAGCTAGCTAGATAGCTAGCTGGTTAGCTAACTTGATAGCTAGCTGTCTAGCTAGCTAACTGGCTAACTGGCTGGCTAGCTGGCTGGCCCGCTAGCTGGCTGGCTGGGCAGCTAGCTGGCTGGGTGTCTGGGTAGCCAGCTGGCTGGTTAGCTAGCTACTTGGCTGGCTAGCTAGCTCTTTGGCTGGCTAGCTGGCTGGCTAGCTGCTTCAGTAGTGTTCTAGGCTAGCGGCCCACGGCCAAAAGCAGTCACCGAAACAGAAACAGATGAGCTAGCTGCAGCAGCAGCAGTAGCAGCAGCAAAGAGAAGGCGCAGCAGCAGCAACAGCAAACGGAAGGCACAGCAGAAGCAGCACTGCAGCAGCAGCAGACAATAGGCGCTGCAGCAGCAGCAACCAACCCTACTGAGTTGCTGCTGAGCCCCCCCGTGGCCGCTAGAGGAACCCGCGTAGCTCTTGCGGCTGGAGGCCCTGTTGCAGCAAAGTGCCCCAGCAGCGGCTGCATGCGCTGCTGCAGCAGCAGAAGCCAGAGAAGCACCCAACTGCTGCTGCTGCTGCTGCTGCTGCTGCAGCAGGGCGCTGCCTCGGTTGCGAGTGAAGACCTGCGCGTTGCTGCCAAAGGGCTCTGCAGTCTCGAAGCCGCCAAACCCTAAACCCTCGTCGCAAACCCTAAACCCTCGCCCCAAACCCTAAACCCTCGCCCTAGTTTTTAAGCCCCAAACCCTCAATTGTGGCCCTAAACCCTCACTGTGAACCCTAAACCCTAACCTAAAAGTTTAGCCCGAAGGAGACTGCGCTGCAGCAACAGCAAAAGCTGTTGCCCTAGGCCTCAACCAGCCAGGAGAGCCGCAGCAACAAGACGCGTGTCTTGTCTGTGGTCGAGTAGCAGCAGCTGTGTGCGCTGCTGCCGCTGCTGCTGCTGCTGCTGCAGGTGCTACGACTGGCGTTTGAGTTGACGTTGCTTTCCCGAGCCTCAGGGTCCTGTTGTTCCTGCTCTCTGACCCACTGCAGCAGCAGCAGCAACGATCGTGTCCGAAGCAAGCAGGAGCAGCAGCAACACCAGCACGGCGGTGGCAGCGGATCTAGTAGCAGCAGCAGGAATGACGTTGAGAAAGCAGCCATATACGAAACTTTCTGTAGAGAAGTACAACAACCTACGTAACAGGGTTATCTATTTAGCAGCAGCGGCAGCACAGCTGCTGCAGCGGCAGCAGCAGCAGCAGCAGAGCTGCAGCTGCAACAACAGCAGCCTTCTGCTCGGGGCAAATGCGCAGCTGCTTCTATAGGAAACACCCCACGCAATCGAAACCAAAAGCGAAGCAAAAACAGCAGCTAAAATTTGCCCTGGGTGTGTGGAGCTTCTAAGGGTTTGCACATCGCAGCAGCAGCTGCAGCAGCAGCAGCAGCAGCAGCAGCGGGAGACTCTATTGACACTGAGTAAAGCCAGTAGGCTTCTCTCGATCTAGTCGCCCTCTGCTGTTAAATTTAATTAGAAAACCCTTGATATTACGGAGGTTTAAAGTCTGAGCCTCAAACCCTAAACCCTAAACCCTGAAGCGCAGACCCTGGAGGCTGCTTGCTGCCGCGGCCGCCCGCCACTGTGCAGCATTCTTCGCTGAGACTGAGGAACTTTGTGTGTCTTGTGTCCAAGCTATGTGCATGTAGCAGCAGCAGCAGCAGCAGCAGCAGCTGCAGCCGTTAGGAGCTCCTTCGCGCAAGCAGCACAGCAGCAGCCGCTGCCGCTGCTGCTGCTGCTGCTCGTATGCAGTTGACCTGCTGCAATGCAGCACAGGAAGACAAACACAACCGGAAGCAGCAAGAGGAGCAAGCAGCTTCAAGTTCACATTGTTAGCTAGCTCAGCAGCAGCAGCAGCAGACTGGGAAGCGCGGGCGAACTCCAGCCATCGCAGCAGCAGCAGCAGCAGCAGCAGCAGCTTCACGACGTAGGAATGCCACCCTACACAGCAACAGCAGCTGCTCCCCTGCGATGAGCGCTGCAGGCCACGCGCCCAGCCTGCAGCAGCAGCAGCAGCCTCATGGGCAGCAGTTCAGCGAGCAGCAAAAGAGGCTGCTACGAGAGTTGCTGCAGCACCACGTCATAGTAGGGCCCCGAACTACCAGCAGAGCCTGTGCACAGAAAGACGGGCAGCAGCAGCAGCAGCAGCAGCAGCAACAGGAATGGATTGTATCGTACAGGGCCCTGGTCGTCCCCAGCAGTCTTGTGCGTGAAGATACCTGCAGCAGCAGCCACACGCTGCTGCTGCAGGTTGCTGCTGCAGCAGCGAACGAAGAAGAAGATGGGCGGCAGGAACAGCAGCAGCAGCAACAGCAGCAGCAGCAGCAGCAGTGGCGCCTGTTTCCTTTGAACTATGGCGTGCAGGCTTCCCCACTACCGCAGTGGGGCTGCTGCAGCTGCTTCCAGCGGGCCCTTCTGGGGTCTTCTCCCGTTGCTGCTGCTGCTGCTGCATCTGCTGCTGCTGCTGTCGAGACAGTAGCGACGCAGCCCGACACCCCAGATGACGCGTTTGGCCCAGCAAAGCTGGGGGCAGCAGCAGGAGCAGGAGCAGCAGCAGCAGCAGCAGCAGCAGCAGCAGATGGGGCTGACTTGAGCAGCCAAGCCTGTCTGCCGCTGAAGCTGCTGCCGCTGCCGCCCCTCCAGCACGGGGGCCTGCAGCCTACGTGTGCGAAGCAGCAGCAGCTGCAGCAGCAGCAGCTGCAGCAGCAGCAGCTGCAGCAGCTGTACCTGCACTGGGGTTTCACTGCAGCAGACGGCCGCAGCTGGAGAGAGCCTCCTTCTTCTTGTGCTTCTCCCCATTGCATAAGGGCCCCAGCCAAGGCTGCGCTGCAGTCGCCCATGCATGTTTGCTGCTGCTGCTGCTGCTTCTGCTGCGCTGCTGTCTTAGGCAGAGGTGTCGGCGGCAGCAGCAGCAACAACAGCAGCAGGGGCAGCGCGAGCGCAGAGCAAACAAGCAAGAGTGTTTGCAGCTGCTCGACCTGCAGCAACAGCAACAGCACCAGCGGCGCCTCGCTTGAAAGTGCTGCTGCTGCTACAGAGGCGAACCTCAGCAGCAGCAGCAGCAGCAGCAGCAGCGGCAGCAAAGGCTGCACAGGCAGCGAGAACATGCGAGACACTCCTATCTACTGTGCCTTTGTGCGGCTAGGGTGTCCTGTCGGGGTGTCTGTGGATCCCTTGGGGCAGGAGCAGCAGCAGCAGCAGCAGCAGCAGCAGCAGCAAGAGCAGCAGGGCGACGTGCAGGGCACCGTCGAGTTTGTGCTGCACAGCTCAGCTAGCGGCTGGCTGAAGGCAGCAACAAATGTGAATTTCTCGCTGGACTGTGTTGCTGCAGCAGCAGCAGCAGAAGCAGCGGCCTTCCAGCAAGCCGCGCTGCTGCTGCTACGTCTGCAGCAGCAGCAGCTGCAGCTGCAGCTGCAGCAGCAGCCCGCGCTAGCAGCGCCTTTGCTGCTGCGGTTGCGGTGCCTGGATTTCTTTGATGCAGCAGCAGAAACAGCAGCAGCAAAAAGACAGTGCTTGATCACAACATGGCTAGTGGGGCGTTGGCTGGCCGTGGATCTTATTGTCGACAAACCATCAGCAGCAGCAGCAGCAGCAGCAGAAGGTCCGCCTGCTGCGTATTCGGTGCAGCTTGAAATGGGCGGGCTGCTGAGGGAGTGCCCCACAAAGCCTCTCTTAGGGGGGCGGCCCCCGGTGCACTGTGTGGTGCCAGCAGCAGCAGTACCAGAGGCAGCAGCAGCGGCAGCAGCAGACACAGCAGCAAATGCTGCCGCGGGCTCTGCTGCAGGGCTTGCTGCCGGCCTTGCAGCAGCGCTGCAGCAGGCAGCAACAGAACAGACAGCAGAACTGGCTGCGCTGCCGTGCATAGGCTCAGGCTGCTCAAGTCTGCTGCGGCTGCGACTGCTGCTGCCGCTGCAGCAGCAGCAGCAGCAGCAGCTCTCCATTAGACTTCTCTGCAGCTTAGGAGCACCTCTTTCCTTCTTTGTTCAGCGCGTTGTGCCGCCACTTAGTGCTGCAGAAATGCAGGAACAGCAGCAGCTAGCCCAGGAGCAGCAGCAGCAGCAGCAGCAGCAGCAGCCAGTAGACGTGCAGGCAGAGACACGCATAGTATTGTTCGAGCTGCAGCAGCCGCCGCAGGAGCAGCAGCAGCAGCAGCGTGGGACTAGGCGCGGTTCAGGCCTCGCTGATAAGGGCGTTAACGTCTGCAGGGGCGTTGGTGCTGCAGCAGCAGCAGAAACAGCAGCAATGATGGCAGATGCTGCTGCTGCAACTTCTGGCCTGGAATGCGCAGCAGCAGCAATGGACAGGGAGGTTGAGATCCCAGAGGAGCGCCCCACGGACACGGTAGTGACAGCAGCACTGGCAGCAGCAGCAGCAGCAGCAGCAGACACGGCCGCCGCAGCAGCACGCGCTGTTGCGGGAACAGCAGCAAACCGCGCAGCAATCGCCGACAACGCAGCAGAAACGGCAGCTGCTGCAGCAGACGCCGCAGCGGCCACAGCGGCGGCGGCAGCAGCAGCAGCAGCCGCAGCAGCGGCGGCAGCAGAGAACGCCGCCGCCGCCGCAGCGAAGGCGGCGGCTGAGGCCGAGGAAGCAGCAGCAGCAGCAGCAGCAACAGAAGCAGCAGCAGACGCAGCAGCAAAAGAACTCTTCTGCACTTCTGAGTGGCGGCTGCTGCTGCCTTCCCTTTTGGCCCCTCTGGGCTCTTCTGGCCTTTCAGGTGTCAAAAAAACTTCCTATGGGGGGCAGCGCCTCGTCTCCTGCAGGTGTGCCAATTCACAACACCCAGCAGCAGCAGCAACAGCAGCAGCAGCAGCTGCTGCTGCTGCTGTTTCAGTTGTCCGGGCTGAGGCGCAGCTGCGCTTCGCGTGTGGGGCCCTGCTCAGCTTGCAGTCCGAGCTGCTGCCGTGTGTCTTTGCTGCTGTGTTTGCTGTCTTGTCGTTTTGCTGCTTCTCCAACATTTGTGGCCTTGCTGCGCTGCTGCTGCCTGCTGCTGCTGCTGCTGCTGCTGCCTGCTGCAGACGGTACGCTTCCTCGGGGCAGCAGGGCGGGGAGGTGGAAGTGGCTCTCGTAGAAGACACAGCAGGAGTTTTGCTGCTGCGGCTTGTGGCGCTGCTGAATGAAGATTACCAAAGCCAAGGGGGGCCCCCCGGGGGGCCCCCCTGCTACTGCCACTGGGGCCTCATACTGGACGAGCGGCCCCCGTCAGAGCTTGCTGCTGCTGCTGTCAATCAGTGCAGCTCCACAGCAACTGCTGCTCTTGCGGCGCTTGCTGCTTCCAGTCGGCACGCTGCTGCTGCGTCGCCTGCAGCAGCAGCAGCTGCTGCTGCTGCGGAAACCAGCGAAGGGGTGCCGGGGCTTGCTGCAGCGATCGCTGCGCTCAGCCAGCCGACGACTGGAACAACAGCTGCAGAGCAGCAGCAGCAGCAGCGGCAGCACCAGCAGGGCCGCCACGCGAGCAGCAGCAGCAGCGGCAACACGGGGCAGAGATGGAAGCAGCCCCCAAAGAGCTTCTGGCCCGAAGGCTCTGTCTCTGCAGACACCCAAAGCGTAGACACCCCAATGGTGAGGGTTTGTGTCAGCAGCAACGGGGTTTCGCTGCGCAGTGGGGACGACAGTAGCAGCAGCAACAGCAGCAGTAGCACAAAGGTTTGCTGCAGCACCTGCCGAAGCATCACCCTGCACGTCGTCGACTTGAAGATACCCCGAAAGGTTGACGGGAAATCGAGTAAGGCGAGCTCAACGCAGCAGCAGCAACAGCAGCAGCAGCAGCAACAGCAGCAGCAGCAACAGCAGCAGCAGCAGCAGCAACAGCAGCAGCGCGAGCGACCGTAACGCCGCAGCACGAACACATGCAGAGAAGCCGCTGCAGCAGCAGCAGCAGTGCTGCTGCTGCTGCTGCTGCAGAGGGTGCAGAGTGTGGCTGTGCTGCGTGTCTTGGTTTGCTGCTGCAGCTGTGGGCGTCAGCTTCGTGCTGCGCTCGGGGCCCCCTCCCTACAGGTGGCACCACTGCGCCCAGGCCACTCACGGGGGCAATTTTTGTATAGATGTGTCGAAGCCGCTGCTGTCGCCGAGTTTGGAGCAGCAGCTGCTGTTTGCAACTGACAAGCTGCTCGTGCTGCTCTCCGCCACCGACCCTGCTGCTGCTGCTGCTGCAGCCAGCAGCTCCGAACAAGCTGCCGCCCTGCACTCCAAGAGGCGCAGGTCCCCCTCCAGGCACCGCACCCCGCCGGTCCAGCCCAGCCGCCAGCAGCAGCAGGCCCACCACGAGCAGCAGCAGCAGGAGCAGCAGCAGCAGGAACAGCAGCAGCAGGAACCGCAGGTGCCGTCTGAGCAACAGCAAGCTCCCTCGCAGCACCAGCACCACCATCACCATCACCACCATTCGCAGCGTCCGCAGCTGCAGCAGCAGCAGTCGGACCTGCAGCCCGAGCACTCGGAAGGGCCCCCGGGGCCCCAGCAGCAGCAGCAGCAGCAGCAGACCCAGCAGCAACAGCAGCAGGAGCAGCAGGGGCAGCAGGAGCCAGAGAGTGACATTAGCCGGTACACGAGCCTGGATGTTTCAGCGTACAGGCCACTGCAGGAGCAAAAGCAGCAGCAGCAGCAGCAAAATGGGCCGCAGCCGGAGCAGCCGGAGCAGCTGCGGCGGCAGCCGCTGCACAGGCGCCGCAGCAGCTTGACGCCCCGCGACGTCCGGCGCAGCTTGGCTGAAACAGTGCAGCAGCAAATGCAGCAGCAAAGCAAGCTGTTGCATGCGCTGTTTGAGTCTTCACGTTTTCTCGCAGACCCGCTGCCTCCCTTCCGAGGCTCCCCCTGGGGGCTGCTGCGGGAGGCCCCCGGGGACCCAGCAGCAGCAGCAGCAGGGGCCCCCGGGGGCCCCCAGGCTTTGGTAGAATGCCTTTTGCGGCTGCTAGAGGGCGACGCCTATGACAGAAAAGCTGTTAGCTTCTGGTCTTGGGTTTTTGTGTTTGTGGTGGCGGAGTTGTGGGGCTGGCAGAACGAGCAGCAGCTTGGCTTTGTGGAGCTGCTACTAGCTCGGCAGCAGACTCAGCAGCAGCAGCAGGAGCCCGAGCAGCAGCAGCAGCAGCTGAAGCAAAACACCCTGCAAGAACCGGACAAGGGACTGCCCAGAATCTTGAGCCTCCGCTGCTGCTGCCCACCCATGATTAGGCGCCGCTGCCACAGTGATGCCTGGGGCAGTGGCTGCTGCTGCTGCAGCAGCAGCGGCAGTGCTGCTGCTGGCGCTGCAGTTGATAGCAACCGGTGCTGCTGCTGCTCCCCATCGTCGCGGGACGCAGCAGGCCGCATGCTGCAGCCGCAGCAGAACCGGTCCACCACGTGTGTGCACGCGACAGCAGCAACAGCAGCGGTGGCAGCAGCTAGTGCAGCAGCAGGAGCCGCAGCAGCGGGTGCAGAAGAAGCTCTGGAAGCAATTGAAGCAGTTGAGCAGCAAATGCAGCAGCAAGGGCCAGGGGACATGGAGGAGCCAGCGCCTATGGTGCTCTCCCCCATGACCGAGCTTCCCAAGGTGGAAGTGCATCTTGTAGAAGAAGAAGAAGCAACAGCAGCAGCAGCAGCAGATGCTGCAGGGTTTATTGCAGCAGAGGAGCCCATGGCAGCAGATACAGCAGCAGTGGCTGCTATCAAGGTTTGCTCTGCTGCACCAGGTGTAGCAGCAGCAGCAGCAGTTGGCATGGCTGTGGACCGCAGCAGCCCTTGCAGCAGCGCCCAAGTGCGCAGTGCAGCAGAAGAAGAAACGCTGAAGGCTGTGGCTTTCCCGCTGCTGCCAGCAGCAGCAGCACCTGCTGCTGAGAGGCTGCTGCTGCTGCTCGGCAGACACTGGAACGAGGGCATGGAAGCAAGGAGTGTCATCCGCTTTTGTGTCGGGACTCTTGCCCCCCTCATCCTGGGCGCCAGACTCGTGCAGGTAGCAGCAGCACTGCAGCAGCAGCGCAGCAGCAGCGCAGCAGCAACACAGCAGCAGCGCACGCGTGAGAGCCGCATAGCTGCTGCGGGTTTGGCGCAGACGCCCCAGCAGCAGCAGAGAAGGGCCCAGGAAGCAGCCTCTTATAGGCTTGCTGGCTGGCGGCGCCTACTGTAGCTAGCTGAGAATCTAGCTAGCTAGCTAGCTAGCTAGATAGCTAGCTAGGTAGCTGGCTGTGAAGGGCCCCCGTTATGTGCTTGTGCGTGTTGTGCGCTGCAGGCCCTAGAGAGGACTCTGCGCGCTGCTGCTGCTGCTGTAGGGGCCCCATTTTTTGCTGCTTGGGCGGAGAGTCTTTCGCATGCAGCCCGCGCGGTGCCCCCGCTGCTGGTGTCTTTGCTGTCGCCTGCTGCTGCCTGCTGCTCTGCTGCTGCAGCAGAAGCAGCACTGGCCCTGGGGTCTGATGCTGCCATACTTAACGCCACTGTGGCCTACTGCCGCGCTGGCGGAGACGCAGCAGCATTTTGGGGGGCTTTTGGTGCCTCGGAGCAGACCTACAAGGAGCTGCAGCAGACGGAGAGGCAGCTAGTGCAGCAGCTGCAACAGCTGCAACAGCAGCAGCAGCAGCAGGGCCAGCAGCAGCAAGAGCAGCAGCAGCAGCCGCAGCTGTACCTGCCGCTAGAGGTGTTCCCCAAGAACCTTGTGGAAGACGATTCCCAGACAGTGCAGCAACAAGCTGCAGATGCAGCAGCAGCGACAGCACCAGCAGCAGCATCTGCGGCGCGGTGCAGAGAAGCAGAGGCCGACATGGATGCGAGCGTGGTCGAGTCCCTGTCCGACCTGCAGCAGCAGCAGCAGCAGCAGCAAGTCGCCGTGCGCGGGAAGCAGCAGCAGCAGAGCGACCGCGTGTCTCTCTCTCGCCGCCTCAAAGCAACAGCAGCATCTTTGTCTCATCTGCAGCACCTTTTGTCTTTGCTGGGTTCTCAGCAGCACTTGGCGCTCGAGGCCTGTCTCCTTACTAACTGCAAGCACCGCAGATTCGGTGCAGCAGCAGCAGCAGCAGCAGACCCCGCTGCTGCTGTTTCCCCGCCACACGCTGCACAGCCCAGCGACAGCAGCAGCAGCAACGACGACGGCCGCAACTTCTGTCTCCCAGAGGAATTCTCGCAGGCCTTGCCGGTGCCCAGTGTTCCCTTAGAAGTGGCGCTGTACTGCCACCGGCTACACCAGCAGCCGCTGCAGCAGCAGCTGCACCAGCAGCATCTGCAGCAGCAGCACGACCGCTACGGCGAGCTGCTGCTGCAGCTGCAGGCAATCGCCACGCACCCTGCCGTGGCGCGCTGCCCGATGGAAGCTCCCCATTATCATCCCCAGCGGCAGCAGCAGCAGCAGCAGGAAGCTGAAGGCGGCCACGTGTGCGGCTGCTGTCGGCTGCGCTGCAGCTGCTTCGAGCTGCTGCACCAGGTGGGCTGCGTGCGGGGCCTCCTGGCTGCAGCAAGAGACAGCAGCAGCCACAGGGGAGAGGAAGCAGCATCAGCAGAGCTGCTGCTGCTGGAAGTTGCAGTGGATGCTCTTTACCACCAGCTGGCTGGCCGCGTGCTGCAGCAAGAAGCTTATGCAGACACACTGCAGCGCAGAGTCATGAGCAGCAGCTACCCAGTACCGTTTTCGCCGCTGCAGCAGCGCCAGCTGAAGCTGCTGCTGCAGGAGGAGCAGCAAGCCGCGCTGCAGGAGAAGCAACAGGACCTGCAGCAGCAGCAAAGCACCCACGCAGCGGGCGAGCCCCAGCAAACACCCACGCCTGCGGCAGAACAACAGAACGAGCAGCAGCAGCAGCAGCAACCGCAACAGCAGCAACAGCAGGCTGAGAACTGTGCAGCTCCTGACTCGCCTGCTGGCTCTGTAGCTAGTGCGTCAGGCGGGAGCACTCCAGGTATATTTTCGGCTTCTAAGCAGCAGCAGCAGCAGCAGCTGCTGCACGCTCAGCAGGCGCAGCAGTTCGCTGAGATGCTGCAGCGGATTCCAGTGCCCCCTTGTCCCCGCGTGCTTTTCCCCTTAGTTGGCCCTCTCCTCTTTACTCTCAAGTGTCATTATCCGTGGTAGGTTGCAGCTGCAGCAGCAGCAGGCCCAGCAGCAGTGCCAGCAGCAGCAGCAGCAGCAGCTACGGCATGCGTCCTGAAGCAGTTGGCGCAACGGCTGTAGCTCTCGTTGACTTCGCAGCTTGCTGCTGCTTGCGCACTTCCGCACTTGTGTTGCTACCAATGCTGCTGTTGCTGCACCTGATGTGTTGATGCCGCTGCTGCTGCTGCTGCTGCTGCTGCAGGTTTACAGAGGTTTCGATTATCGCAGGAGACTGGGCAGCGCTCGACGCAGAGGCGGTGGAGTGTCTCCGCAGCTGCCGCAGCTGCTGCAGCCGCCGCGTAGGAGCCGCAGGGGCGGCGTCGGCAGCAGCGCAGACGCCAACTGGTGCTGCAGCAGCAGCTGCAGCACCAGCAAAAACTGCAGCAGCACAGGGACTCAAAGGGGCCGCGTGGGAAGAACACGTCGCGCTGCAGCGGCTGCAGCGCAGAGCACTTTTAGACCGCCTTGGCCGTGCTGTTGGCCGTCTTATTGATTTGAGCCAAGAGCACTTCAAAGAGAAGTTGCTCTTCTTCCTGCAGGTAGCTGCTGCTGCTGCTGCTGCTGCTTTCGTGCAGCGTGCATGCACTTGCTGCTGCTACTGCTGGTGTTAGGACTGGTACAGAAGCTGCTGCTGCTGCTGTGACAACTTTACTTCCCGCTACTTCTAATGCTGCCATTGCTGCCAGTAGTTTCGCTGCTGTTGTCTGTTGTCGCTTCGGCACTGTAGCGGCTTCTACTGCTGCTCTCTTCGCTGCTACTTTTGCTGCTGCTGCTGCTTTTGCTGCTGCTGCTGTTGCGGGTGTTTGCGGCCCCGCCCCTATTTGGCTGCTGCGAGTCGCTGCGGTGGGCGCACCTGCGCCAGAATTTGCAGTTGCAGCAGCAGTTGCAGCGAACGCAGCAGCAGAAGCAGCAGCAGCAGCAGCAGCAACAGCAGCTAGATGTGGCTTCGTGTGCGTGTCAGGCGGCTAGTGAGAACTCCGCGGTGGCTAGCTGGGTGGCGCTGGGCGTAGTGCAGCAGTCGGTGCTGCACTCTGTGGTGGCAGTAAGCCTTTTAAGCAGCTGCTGTTGCTACTTTTTGTCTTCAAATTTATTTCCTTTTTATTTATAATTTTTATTTTCATTCATTTTCTGTTGGCTCCTGCTTTGAAGCTCCCTTTGCTGCTTTGAGGGATTTGGCCTGTGCTTTTGTCCGCCGGCGTCGGCTCCTCTGTGGCTCCTTCTCTGCTGCTGCAGCTGCTTCTCTGCTACTGCTGCATCTCTGCTGCTGCTGCTGCCTCTCTGCTGCTGCTGCTCCCTCTCTGCTGCTGCTGCTCCTCTTTTTCTGCTGCTGTTGCTCTCCTGCCTCCGCCCGCCCGCTCGTCTGAGGCCTTCTGCAGGGGCCGCGCTGGATAGGAGGCCACTATTGTCTTGACCTAGCCAGCTAGCTAGCTAGCTAGCCAGCTAGCCAGATAGCCAGCCAGATAGCCAGATAGCCAGCCAGCTAGCCAGATAGCCAGATAGCCAGCCAGCTAGCCAGATAGCCAGCCAGCTAGCTAGCCAACTTGGTAGCTAGCTGACCAACTGGGTAGTTAGCGAGCTAGCCAGCTAGCTAGCCGGATAGCTAGCTAGCAAGCTAGGCAGCTGGCTATGGCAGAACAGCAGACTGGCAGATAGCCTTGCAAGGAGTTTGCTGCTGCTGCACCACCCCACATCATCCTTTCATATTTTCTTTATCTTTTCTGTTTTCCCTTTCTCTAGCGAATCTCTTTATCTTTTTCTGCTGCTCCGATGGGCTACTCTGCTTCATTTGAATGGCTGACTCCCCACAGTGCTGTGGAGGCTGCTACACCAGCTGCTGCTGGTGCTGGTGCTAATGCTGCTGCTGCTGCTAACGTGGCTTGTCGGGGGAACTAACGCTTGCGGGTTTTTGTACTTGGAATGGTGCTGCTGCCGTTTTGTTGCTGCAGTTCGTATGTGACACAAAAGCAGCAATTTGCTGCTGCTGATGTGCTGCTGCTGCAGGCGTCTCATTTGCTGTCTTTTGCTGACGCCGTTTCTCCCGGCTATCCGCCCGCGCCCTTTTGGCTGGCCCCCACTGAGACCACAGCAGCAGCAGGTTCTTTGCTGCTTCTGCCTTCATTAGCAGCAGCTGCTGCACTGCCTCCGTCTCCCCAGCCGCTGCTGCTTGCTGCTGTTTGCTGCAACGGAGACGAAGAGATCCCCCCGTACATAAGGGCCGTGCTGCTCTGCCCGGCAGCTGCTGCCTTCCTTCCTGCTGCAGCGCAGCACGCGAAGCTTCAGCTGCTGCTGCTGCTGCGGGAGCTCGGCAGGCAGCAGAAGATTATCGAGCAGCAGCTGCAGCAGGATGAGGACCCGTCAGATGCAGAAGACCCAGCAGCAGCAGCAGCTGCCGCTGCTGCGGCGGCAGCTTCAGGAGGGTCTGAGCTGGAGCCCCCGCACCCGTGTGCGACGTTTGCCGAGTTGATGCTGGCAGCAGCAGCAGCAACTGCTGCTGCTGCCTACAGAGAACTTGACGCCGAAGGCGGCGACTGCGCCGTCTCGCGCTGCACTCCTGCTTCCTTTGTGCCTGGCAGCAGCTGCAGCCTTTTGGTTCGTTGCAGGACGCAGCGCTGCTTCTTCGCTGTGTGTAGAGACCCTGCATATTTCTTGCTGCTGCTGCAGCAGCTGCAGCAGCAGCAGCGGGAGCTGCAGGTGCGCTGCTGGCTTGGCGCCCTCGCGGAAGAGACGGAGGCGGGCCGCACGATCTGCCCCTCGGTGCAGCAGCTGCTGCTGCTGCTGCCGCTGAAGCAGCGGTACTGTGTGGTGCGGGAGCGGCGGCGGTTCGTGCTGCAGCAGCTGCGGCTGGCTGAGGAGTGGCAGAGCACCCCTTTGCTGCTGACGCGGGACGCGGAGGTCTGCTGCAGCAGCAGCAGCTTCAGCAGCGGCGCTGCTGTGCGGGTCCGCAGCACAGTCACGCAGCCCAGCAAAGCTCAAGACAACGCAGAGCACCTGCCGCTGCTGCTGACAGTCTCTTACCCGACAATATCCCCGCTGCAGCTGCCGCAGCTGGCTGGGGAGGAGACGCAGGGAGTGGCGGCAGCAGAAAGCGCTGCAGCAGAGGAGCTCTTGGCGGAAGCAGCAGCAGCAGCAGCAGCAGTTGGGCAGGGCAGCGACGATGTTTTGCTGCTGGGCCGAGACATCCCTGAGGAGGCGCCGCTGTCGGGGAGCTCCGTGGCGGCCTCAGCAGCAGCTGCTGCTGCTGCTGCTCCGCTGCGTCTGTGCAAGGCCGCCCGCGGGGACTCCGAGTGCAGCAGCAGCAGCGGGAAAGGCAGCAACAGCCCCGGAGAGGGGCTGCTGCGCGTGTCCTTTGGCAGCAGCGGGCTGGGCCCCATGCGGAGGGGGGGGGCCCCCGGAAGGGGGCCACCCCCCAAGCCAGTAGTTGTGGAGCACAAACTTTGCACAAGTGCTTTTCAAACTCAAGTGCGGCAAAGGCCTTTATTTCTTTCTTTGTTTGAAGATGGAGGAGACGATCCCGGGATCGACACGGACGACGCGGATGAGGAGAGCGAGGGGGAGTTTGAGCGGACGACAGCAGCAGCAGCAGCAGCAGCAGCAGCAGCAGCGCTGGACGCGCCGCCACCGGCCGCAGCCAAAGCCATTGCAGCAGCCCGCAAGTTCAGCAGCCGCAGACTTGCACGCCGCAGCCGCAGCCTCCTCAACAGCAGCAGCTTGCTGTCGCAGCCCTCAGGAGAGCGGCAGCAGCAAGCTTCTGTGCGGTGGTTTTTGGCCCCTGCAGCATTTCAGCCGCACCACGTGGGGGCTCGCTGCTTGGGGCTGGCGATGCTGCAGCACACGCAGCTGCACAGCTGCTTAGCAGCAACAGCAGCAGTTCCTTTCTACGCGCTGGAGCATTGTCTTTCTTTTCCCCCCAACAGCCATCTTCGGAAGGCTTTGCAGCGCATTTGTGCTGCGCTGGACTTGGCCGTGGAGGTGGCCGAGCTGCGGCAGACCAACGCAGCAGCAGCAGCTGCTGCTGCTGCCCGCACGGCAGCAGCAGCCTCCAGGGCCCTCGGCGAGAAGCCCCCAGACGGCGAAGCCGCTGCTGCTGCTGCTGCTGCTGCAGCAGGCGGAGAGGGGCCCCTTCTGCGCGGGTTCCTGCAGCTCGAAAGACTCCTCAGAAGAGCCCGACACATCATCCACATGCTGCAGGCCCCTCCAGATGTGCTGCATGACTTGCACAACTTCTGCGAACAGGGGCCCCTCGAGGGGCCCCCCGATGCTGCTGTCAGCCCTAACACCCGCCTCCGGCTGCTGATGCTGCAGGACACTCAGAGGCTTTGGCTCGGAGTCCTTTCAGTGTGGGCCACTCTCTTCTCGCCCCCGGTTGTGCTGGCCCTGCAGCGGGCCAAAGTCAAACACTCAACGGTACCCTGCTGCTGCTGCTGCTGCTGTTGCTGCTGTTGCTGCTGCGGAGGGCGAGGCGGATGGCTGTTAGGGTGCTGGGAGGCAGGCCTAGCTGAGAAAATGTGTTTTGCTGCTGCCGCGGCTGCTGCAGCTGAGCATGCTTGCTCTGGCGTCTGCTGCTGACGCAGCACCTCTGCTGCTGCAGCAGCAACAGCAACTTGGAAAGCGCCTGCTGCTGTTTGCGTTGCTGACTATGCTCAGGTGCGCGTTGCAGTTCTTATACAGCTGGTAGAGAGCAGCAGCAATGCCGTCTCCTTCCTCTGCCGCTCCTCCGCGCCTTTGCCTGCCTGTGACTTCGCCACCGGCCGGTCCAGCAGCAGCAACAGCAGCAGCGGCGGCAGCAGTGCAGTGGCCGGAGAGGTGGTAATGGGCCTGGGGCTTCCCCCCAGAGAAACTCTGCAAGGTGTGCGCGAAGTGCCGGGCCTTCCGGGGCTTTTCTATCTTCGCTACTGCAGTCCCGAGGCAGAGACGAGTGCCAGCGAGAGTGCTGCTGCAGCAGCTGCTGCGGACTTCACGCCACGAGCAGCAGCAGCAACAGCAAGAGGGGGCGCAGCAACTAGCGTGCACAGCGGAAGAGACAAAGAAGACCGAATTCACCATGCGGGCGTTCGATTCGCCTGCCCCGGAGATCCTGCTTCGCCGGAGCCAGCGTCCGCCCCAGCAGCAGTAGCAGCAGCAGCAGCAACTTTGCCGTCATCGACGCCCAGCAGTGCTCAGCGGCAGCGACAGCAGCAGCAGCAGCGGCCTTCCGAGCGCGTCTGCTGCTGTTGCGGCCAGCCTGCTTCGTGCTGCAGCTGCGTCCGAACCCCCTCTGGCTTCCTCGTCTCCCAGCCGCGGGTGCTGCGGGTCAGCAGCAGAAGTGTGGCGCTGCAGACAGGCTCAGCTTTGCTGCTGTCGCCAGACTTTAGTGTCGAGGGTTTAGAGGGTCTCATGGCTGTTGATGGATTAGTTTCAAGGCTGCTGCCACAGCGGCAGCCGCTGCTGCTGCGCCGCGATCAGCGCCGCAAACAGCAGGGGCTGCTGCATCTTCAGCAGCAGCAGCTTCTGCAGCTACAGCAGCAACAACAGCAGCAGCCGCAGCAGCAGCACCAAGCGCACCCCCCAAAGCCGCCACAGCAGCAGCAGCAGCAGCAGCAAGGAGTTGTTAGCGGCTCGGGAGTGCAGAGGGTGCGCCTGAGCTTCCGAGACACAAAATGTCTATCAGACAGCGCCACAAGGAGAGACTGTCTTCTTGCTGCAGCAATAGCAGCAATAGAAGCCGAAGCAGCACTGGGTTACCCCCAGATTGTGCACGGCATATGGCAGCCCCCTGAGGAGTGCTCAGCAGCAGCAGCGGCAGCGCCAAAGGAGCCAGCAGCAGCAGGTGCTGCAGCAACGAAGCTGCTGGCGTGGAAGAGCGAAGGCAAAATAACCCTTCTTTCTTCTCGGTCTGTTGTGCTGCCTGAAGGCGACAGCTGGGGACAAACAGAAACAGATGGCGCGGAAGGTTTGCCCTTACCCGAAGAGCTGCTGGCCTCGGTGTCCCCAGCTTTGCCAGAGTAGCGGCTGCTGCTGCTGCTGTTGTTGCTGCTGCCAGCTTAGGCACGCGCCGGCAGCCGCCGCTTCGAAGCAGCAACAGCAGCAGCAGAGGCGGAGGCGGAGGCTGCTCGTTGCACGAGGCCCGCATCCGTTCTCGAGCACGAGCAGCAGCAGCAGCAGCAGGAGCCACGGCAAGGACCGAGCCACAGCAGCAGCAGCAGCAGCAGCCGCAAACATGGCCGTGACGGTTTGCGGCACGGCTGCTGCGCAGCTGTGGGTGACCTTTGTAACTATGTGGGCAAAGGCACATTTGAAATCATTTGTAAAGCTTGTTAATCTGCATGCAGATTAAAAACACTTGCAAAAAGTGGATATGCCACCAGATAACTAATTTTTGTGATGTGCTGTATGCATGCGCATGCATGTGCGTGAGTATGTACTGAATCTAAAGTATTATGCCACGTAGGCAAATCACACATTGTTAATAGATATTTTAGCCATGCCACGGTGTATAGCAGTATACTAAATATGTTGTATATTGTATTAATGGAATACTAATATAATGGATGACGATATGTATATATGTACACATATATATGTATACATGTATGTATATATGCATGTTCATGTACACATATATACCATTGCATTTACATTTACTGTACAGGGTTTATCTATATAAATATATATATGTATATATCTAAATATAGACATACATGTATATGCCCTGTGTGGTGAATATAATGTTTCAGCTAAAGGTAATATATATTATCCATGTACTTTCAATTATTATTATAGAGGCGGTGCACGATGGAGCAGTGGCTGCTGTGGAGGGGCCGAATAGAGACTTACATAGAAAGGCACCCAACGTGGCATTTAGGAGCATTGCATCTATGAATAACATACAGATTCCACAAATACATTATAGTATATCTAATATATATATTTGTATCAATGAATTATACATATATATAGTTAGACGCAGTGAATAAAATTATAGAGGCAGAGGAGGAAGTCCTCAGCTCGGGCGAACGAAGGGGAAGAAACCCAAGGGAACCAGCGCAGTGGTAGCCACTACGGGCTGCCGCCCCTGCCGAGAACTACAATATTAGATAGAAGGTGCTGCTTCTGCTGCTGCTGCTGCAGCTGCTGGCGTATTCTCTCCTTAACTACGGAATCACTTCCTGTGTGCGCCTCTGCCATTTCATTCACCGCACCTGCCTTTATACATATTTAAGCGTATGTATGTACACATACGATAAATTATACATATATATTTCCTGAACGCAAAGTTCCTAAATATCAATCTGAGGCGCTTCTCCATTCACCTGTGCGAGGCTAGAGCGTCACAAACGCTAGCTAGACTGCAGCAAACGAGGTATTGGCGCCAGGCCAGAGAAACGAAAAAGTGAAAATCTAAGGGTTTGGTGCTGCAGAAAGCTCTATTAAGGGAACTTTCTGGGCAGCAAAGCACAAATTTCACAAGTACAATAGAGTGAATGCATGAGTGCCTTGTGAATCTTCCGTGAAATTCAGCCATGCAGGACTATGTTCCCCTGTGACCTGCACTGCCTTTTCTGGCTATTTCCCGCTTTTTCTGCTGCTCGGCGAAGCCAGGCAGTCAATAAGCTTTAAAAGTAAGAAGTTGAAAGAGGCAAATTAAGTGTTATGAGCTTGCAGGTGTTGTCGTGGGTGGGTGGGGATGCAGGAAGAATTACCAAGTAACTCCCTTTCCAGTTTGAGTTTCTTTTTCCTCGTGTCTGAGCATTCTACCTTCCGCAGCTAACGGCTACTTCTTTCTCTTCCTTTATTTCATTGCATCTCTTTCTGAAGTGCTCTCGCGAGCTCCTCGTACTCAACTTTCCCGTTTCCTTCCACTACAGCGTTACAATACCACTACCTTCTTGTGTACCATTTGGGGCTCTTGCTGCTCTGTATCTTCCCAGCCTAGCCCACTCTGCAATATTTCTGTCTACAAAAGTTCAAATAAATATTTTTCCTGCAATGCGTTTGGCTGCTCCTTGGATGAAGCAAAAGCTACGCCTTTTCCTGTCGCCGCCACAACAGTTGCTGTAACTTCTGCTTCCTCCGCAACCCTGTCTCTGGGAAATCAATACAATAAAGGCAAATACCAATCCTTGCACTGCAGCAACAACGCTAGCTGCAGCAGCAAAGTGCCAACTGCAGCCGCAGCAACACTATCTGCGGTGGCAGCAGCACTTGCCGCAGCACCGTCAGCAGTAGATGCCATCGCAGCGCGATTCCTCCTCGCAGCAACAGCAGCAGAGCGTGCTGCTGTGGCTGTCACAATAACTACCGCTGTAGATGCTGTAGTGCCTGCTGCAGTAGCCGCTGCTGCAGCCAGCATCCCTCGTTGCGTGGGCGCACCCAAGGCCGCTTGACAAACCTCGATTGCACAAAACAGAGAGACAAGGAGCAGCTGATGCTGTAAGAGCAGCAGCTGCTCCTGCAGGAGCCGTAGCCGCTGCTGTGGAGTAACTGCATGAGCGGCTGCCGAAGCATGACAGCAGTTGCTGCTGCGGAGCAGTTCTGATGCGTACTTCACTTCAAGACGAACCAGCAGCATTTGCACACAGCAAAGACAGGCCTTAAAGACGTCCCCTTAAACTACTTCGGCTGCCGCTTCTGCTGCTGCAACAGCCAGATCTACAAAGGATGTGCACCGGGTCAAGCAAACCACGTTCCTCAAGTGCTGCTGCTGCTGCCGAGATGTTGGTGCTGCTGCCCTTGCCGCCGTTGCCGCTGCTGGTGATGCAGCAAGTTCTTTAGTGGGGATGGCGCAGGCACGCAGCAGCACACTTTGCGAGGCCCTCAAGCCTTGTAGTAAGCCGCCCATCCCTTTGCTTCTGTTCCTTCCTGGCGTCTCCATGTTTGTTACCTGTCTTCTTCACCAAGAAAAATGTATGGGGCAGACAACGTCCCCGACAAGAAATCCCTCCTGATCTGGGCCTAGGCTCGCTGTCAGTTTCTATTTCGTTGTTTCATACTGCCAGCTAGCTGGCTAGCCAGCCAGCTAGCCAGCTAACTAGCTAGCCAGCTAACTAGCTAGCCAGCGCGGCTGGGTAGACTCGCACAGGCTCCTAATTGCACTCTGAGCCTTCGTTCCATATTTGTAGCCTTTCACCTCTAGGCGTTGGCTTCACTGGCGGGCTAGCTGCCTAACTGCTAGCTAGCTCGCTCCGTGCTGGCTTCGCTAGCTACCCGATTGGCTAGCTACGCCGCGGTATCTCCGCACAACTTCAGGAGCATCTGCCGGAACTCCTCAAAGTCCACTTCCCCGTCGTTGTTTCTGTCCACCTCCGCGAGGACGCGGCGCCAGGTTTCGGAGTCGACCTCGCTCACCCCGAATATCTGAAGCCGCACGAATGCACAAATAAGCAGCAGCGGCAGCAGCAGCAGAAACAACAAATTACAAACAGCTACGGCCAACTACGTGAAATAAACAGAAAACAAAGAACAAAGATCTTCAGAGCCATACCCCTCTCTCCCACCACCTCAGGGCTTCATGCACGTTCATGTAGTTTGCAACAAGCATAGGTGCAGAAGCACAAACTAGACTGCAGCTGAAACCGATAGTAAATGATACAGAAAATAAGCCAATAGAATGAAATCAATGACGCACTAAGACGAAAACCAGCCCCCAAAGATGAGCTTACGGTGGCCAACTCTGAAGAGGAAATCTTGCCCGAGCCGTCAGCGTCGAACATTCCAAAGGCTCTTTCCAGTCGCTGGCGAGACAAGAGTGTCTTGCGGTCCATTGCCACTGTGACGAACTCTGAGAAGCATCACCAAAGCACTCATTTTCACTGTAAATAACACGGGTTGCATGCAGCTGCAGCAGCAGCACTTAATTGTGGTAAGTTCTTCCCCTTTGACGGCAGACTATGGGCGCCGGATGCCCAACTAGCCCGCGATCTAGGAACTACTCTCTCTCTCCTCTTTCTACTTGTTCGTCTCTGCCTAATATTTCAATCTCTTCTAATTCATTTAGAGCTTCTGCACGCCAACTCAGCTGTGGCCTGCCCTAGCCGCACTTTTTGCACAGCTGCTGCGCCTCCCCGTGGCTGCGTACTAACTGCTTTCTCTCAGGTGCGCAACAGCTGCTGAGCTGCCTCTGGCCAGGCCCACCTGAGTACTCTATGAAGCCGTTCTTGTCAAAGTCCACAGCGTCGAGCACCTGCTCCACCTCGAACTCGATGGCGCTCTGGTCCAGCGCCGAAACGTCTTCGCCTTTCAGCTTCATCAGCTCCACGTAGCCTTCCATGAGCTCTGCAGCGCAGCACAGCCAATGCAAAGCAGACCATTATTTTATTCCCCTTGAAATAACCTTCATTGCTCTTGCTTCTTCACCTGCAGCAGCTGTGACTGCGCAGGGTTACACGAAGTGCAAAGCGAATAAAGCCTGTCCTCTATAATACCATTCCGCAGACAATGCGCTATTAATCCACTTGAAACAACAGAAACAACCAAGAAAGCAGTCTGCCCAGCTAGCCAGAATGGCTAGCTTAGCTCCCCAGTTAGCTTAGCTATTTAGCTACCATAGCTAGTCAAATGGCACCTCAGCAGCTGCCTCACCCTGCTTATCAAGCTGGCCATCTCCGTTTTTGTCCATCCTTTGGAAAATCTTGTTGAGCTCAACTGTCTCTTCGTTGGTGGTCAGCTTGCTGCCCATATAGAGCAGCGCAGCCGCGGCAAGCTTTTGCGTCCCCTGGAACTGTCTGCAGAATGACAGCAGCAGCAGCAGCAGAACTGGAAAACCCAACAGCTACACCAACCCCATTCCACGCATGCAGCCATACAGCACCCAGAAGCAGCCATACAGCACCCACTAGCCAATAAAACGTGACGCAGCAGCAGCACCACCACCAACAGCAACACAGCAGCAGCAGCATCACGAAAAGCAATGCAGCAACAACACCACCCTGAAAAGCACCACAGGAGCAAAGGAAGCACGAAAAGCAACAAAGCAGTAACAGCATCACGGACGGCAACACGGCAGAAGCAGAGCCAACGCCAACAGTAACACAGAGGCAACAGGAGCACAACGGGCATCAATACAAACAGCACTGCTATCAATAGCAATATAGCAGTACTAACATTGAAGCAGCACTAACATTAAAAGCAACACAGCTGCACCACCACCGACAGAAGCACGGCAGCAGCAGCACTACGGTCAAGTAAAACACAGCAGCACTGCAGCCCGGGCAGCGAGGCCTTACCTGATGTTAAGTATGGTGCTCTCAAGCGAAGGCACATCAATACTGTCAGTGGCTGCGTCTGTAGTCTTGAGCCACTCGTGCTCGAGGGCGTCTCGTGCAGATATCCGCATTGTGGGCACGTACGCCAGCATCTTACGAATCAAGTCTTTGGCTGGCTCGCTCACCTTCTTCCACTGCGCAGCAGCAGCAGCAAAAAAGAAAAGACCACTGAAATGAGGCAACGCCGATACACAGGTGGAAGCAGCATAAAGAAGTCACCAGAGAACAGAAAAATCTAGAAGGTTGAGCGACGAGAAGGCAAAATGACAGTAATCAGTGAATGAGAAACAACGACAGGGAAACAAGGATTCTGCAATCAAAGAATGAAAAGCTGCAACAAGTACAGGGGAGGACACAGCAACGAGTCCGCAAGGTCAACAACAGAATACAATGACACGACTACAGGAGCAGAGTGGACTGAAAAGAGGACAGAAGAAAACAGCGATACATTGAAAAGAAACAGTAAGAGGACACAGCGGCAACAAAACAAATCAACGGCAAGAAGAAAACAGAGGATATAGGAACCAGGCCAAACGGAGAACAAGACGGACTTGCGGCAGATCGAAGGTGAACTTTCCTTTTTCGACTTTCTTCAAAATGTCAAATTCGTTTGCCCCGTTAAATGGGGGGCATCCTGCAGAGCCAAACGCAAGCTAAGACACACGCGTCAGGAGGGCCAGTACCGCTAGCTAGCTACACAGCTAGCTTGCCACAGAAACAGCTAGCTGCAACGGCTGCTAAACAGCAAGTCCGTAGCAATCTAGCCAGCAAATGACTCCCGCCTGAAAAGAGGGTCGTAAGCTGTGGCGTTAGCAGCTATCTGGGGGTAGCGGCAGCAGCAGCCGCAGCAGCAACAGCAGGACTGACAGCCTCGTCTCACCAGAAAGAAGGATATACAAAATGACCCCTGTGGACCACACGTCGCACTTCTCGTCGTAGGTCCCATGCAAGACCTCTGGGGCAATGTAATAGGCCCTGCAACAGCACCAGAAACGGCAGAAGCAGCAGAACCATGCAGAAGCGTCTCCACCACAGCGCCTGTCCAGTAGGATCCGCCCGGCTGCAGCAGCGAATGGGCACGAGCAGCAGCAGCAGCTCCAAACAGCAGCAGCAGCGACGAACTGTCTTACGTTCCGATCTTGTCCTTCATTTTCTTGGTGGACTCAAAGTGAGTGGAAAGGCCGAAGTCAATGATGCGAATGTTAGCATCTTTTCTTTTGTTTTCCAGCAGCAGATTTTCAGGCTTGAGGTCTCTGTGAACGATTTTGTTCTTGTGCATATACGTAATGCCCGAAAGCACTTGTCGAATGATGCGGGCAGCGTCAACCTCGCTGAAGCCAGAAGCACGCGAGAAGTAGAAAAACTTGCCAAACAGAAACCCCAAACCCCAGACCCTAACCCTAACCCCCAAAGCCTAAACTTTGAATATTGCTCCCCTCTATTTCAGGCCTCAGAAAAGCTCTCAGCACACTGTCCAGCACCCTTAGATATCATGGTTTAGGGTTTAGGGTTTGCAGAAAAGCGTCCGGCAACGGGCATCCGGTTGGTAGTCAACTGAGCTCTGCCTCTGCTGGATAGGGTTTAGTATTTAACGCCCGCAGTTAACAGGCTACTGAACTTCTAGCTTGATTGAATAATTAGGAAAATGGATTTACAGTTGAAGGCTAAGGGTTAAAGGTGTCTAGGGTTTCGGGTTTGCACTGCGTAAGCACCTGAACCTCTTTCTGCTGATGATCTCGTCGAAGAGCTCTCCGCCGGTATAGACTTCTGTGACTAAGTAGAAGTAGCCCTTGTCCTCGAAGAACTCGTAGAGCTTCATGATGTTGGGGTGGTCCAGCTTCTTAAGGAGCTCCACCTCCTTGAGCAGCAGCTCTTTGTCCGTCTTCTGCTTCACTTGCCGTTTTGAAATCACCTTCACGGCATATTCCTGCAGCACGTAAGCATTCATAACGCAAGAAAAATGCCAAGCTTGAACTCCCATTCGTATTCGACTTCATACTCGCGCTTTGGCTCGCATTCATACTCACCTTCCCATTCACATATATATTTATGTTCACGATCACACCCTTCCCACGTTCACGTTCGCGTTCACATTCAGATTCAAACCACGAACTATGTTCCTCTTCCCAAATATACTCATAATCCTGTTTCTGTTCCCCGTTGTGCTCATATTATGAGTGAAACACGGGCGACGCCGTCAGAAGCAGTGCTCAACCGACCCGAAATTGCAGTTCTAGCTGCAGTTTCGTCAGCTATTTTGAAACTCAAACTGAATTTCGCAAAGATTTGCATGAACATGTGCATGTGCATGTAAGTATTATGGGTCGCTTCCACCGCGCATTTCCCCGGACAGGCCACATATCCATTAGCGCCTACGCATCAACATATATTTGCAACAAACCGAATGAGTGAATATACGGGCATGCCCCCACATTTATCTATCCGCAACATATAAGTGCATACATACATACGAATAACACTTATTCACATATGGATATATATACATGCAGATTCATCTACATGGACCCAAGAACGCCGCCTGCATAGACAGCTGCAGGCGCCAGCGTGAAGCCGAAACGGCCTATAACAACCGTGAATGAGATCGGAAGA